CATGTTCCCGCCTTTCTATCTCGCATCGTCCTTTTGCGCGCAATCTTCAAGAAGCCTCTCGCAGCCCTACCCCATCCCATCTCCTGTCTTGATATCCAACTCCATTGCGGCCACCAGCCGGCGCTTATGTGGCGATATTGCTTTGCTGCTTAAAGATCTAGCCTGTCCACATTGTTCTTCCCTTGCTTCTCCTACCCGACGCTTCATCTGCATCTAGCTCGGACCCGACTTACTTCCTAGCTCCCGGTCGGCCTCGGACCACTTTGCCCCTCCATGAATCCGACGAACATTGCTTGCTTGCAACTCTAAAGCTAACACCGCCTGTCCCTCTCGCAGATATCCTGGCCTTGCGACCCCTTTCCCGGCGACAATATACACCGACGACGAACATACAGACTTCCTACGATCCTATCGTACTCAACTGATCGCGCGCCCGGGACGGTACCCTTGAATCCTTTGAAGGCTTTTTAAACTGGCAGGAAGCAAGCGTCGCAGCCTCTCCAACCAGGGGAGTGGTCTGCTGACTAGAATGTTCGGCGGCGGCTCAAGTTCAGCGCCCAAGGCGGAGAGCGACTCCAAGGAAGATCGCAAGTCGCCCTCGCCCGACTCCGAGAAGGCTCAGCCCAAGGCTACCGATCAGGTCGTCAGCGGAGACAAGAGGAGTGGAAATAGTAGTCCCCCAGGACGTCAGACCGATGGAGCCGCCGATAAAAAACGCCGGGCTAGCGGCGTCTCGAGCAAGGCTGCCGGCCTGCTGGCTCACGCCAAGAACACGTTGAATTTCTCTCAGGTTGGCCGATCCAACTCGGATGTGAGCGCGCAGACTCCGTTGCAGAAGCTGGGCAAGCAGGACCCCGCACTCGTCGTGCCCCAGGGTCAGCATAACAACTCGGCCGGAGAGTCTATTCCCGGACCGCGCTCCACGTTCCGTGTCGGCGTCTGGGAAGATAGGAACAAGAAGTGCCGCCGGACGATGGAGGATACCCACGCTTTCCTGTACAACTTCCTCTACACCCCGGCTCCTGTCCTCGACAGTAAAAAGAGTGATGCTGCCGATGACAAGGATGCTTCTCAGGACATGGTTGAGACGGACAACGGATACTTTGCCATCTTCGATGGTCACGCGGGAACTTTTGCAGCAGACTGGTGTGGAAAGAAGTTGCACATCATCTTGGAGGACACCATCCGGAAGAACCCCAACGGCCCCATCCCAGAGCTACTCGACCAAACCTTCACTTCAGTCGACGCGCAGTTGGAAAAGCTCCCTCTTAAGAACAGTGGATGCACCGCTGCTGTCGCTGTGTTGCGTTGGGAGGACAGAGTACCAAGCGATCGATCTGCGACTGGTTCTCAGGCCATTGCGCCGGCCACCGCAGCGGCCACCAAGGCTGTCAAGTCCAATTCAGAGGAGCCAACCGGCGACAAGGCCGCCTCTGCAAACAGCCCGGAGGCTGCACACGCCAAGTTGAAGAGCTCGGCTAGCCGCCAGCGCGTTCTTTACACGGCCAACGTCGGAGACGCGCGCATCATCCTCTGCCGCTCTGGCAAAGCCTTGCGTCTGTCATACGACCACAAGGGTAGTGATGAGAATGAGGGTAAACGTATAGCTAACGCTGGCGGTCTGATACTCAACAACCGCGTGAATGGCGTGCTGGCTGTCACGAGAGCCCTTGGCGATACCTATATGAAGGATCTTGTCACTGGGCATCCGTACACAACCGAGACCGTTATCCAACCTGAGAGTGACGAGTTCATCATTATAGCATGTGATGGAGTAAGTTTCTCGACGCCTGACTTTTTGGACATTACTAACAAATTAACAGCTTTGGGATGTTTGCTCTGATCAAGAAGCGGTTGATCTCGTTCGCAATATAGAGGACCCGGTTGAGGCTTCGAAGCTTCTGGTCGACCATGCGTTGAATCGTTTCAGTACCGATAATTTGTCTTGTATGATTGTGCGTTTGGATAAGGCTGCGCTGTTAGAGAGCCAAAACGACAAGGAAAGCTCCATTGGCGTGGAACGACCTCCCACGACTGCGGCCAAGGTCAGCGAGGCCGAAAAGATCGTTTCAGAGACGAAGAAAAAGATTGCAGACGGAGGAACGCCTGCTATTGGCGTGTCGGCGAGCAACAGTGGACGCGGACATGACCCGGCGTCCATTGACAATGGGGACTTCAAGCCCACGACGTTAGATGGGACGCTCGAGGAAGAGCCCGGACCCATTGAAGAAAACACTGAGTCTCCGGAGATCGCCCGCGATGCTCCTCCTGCACCTTTACCTACGGAGGTGGAGCAGACTGACACGGCCGCCAAGGCGAAGAAGGCCTAGGTACAGTGACGCAGTTGATAATAGGCTTGACTGCTTCAACTGTCTCAAAGTGAGCGACTTGCGATTGTGTCGATGGCTCATGCACGGGGCGGCATTGCAAGATGTCTCGAGGCAGAGGTTATCAGGAGTTCAGAAACAGGGGTTAGCAAGCATAAGGCAATGAGCCGGCCCGATGGGGAAGGGTGCTTATTGTAGGTTATCTGTACATCTAGCTATCAAATGGCTTTACCTGCGATCATGGTGCTTGTTATGAGCCCTCCCCATGTTAGTTGCACTGACGTCTGATTGTCAGCTAACGACTACAACCACCGTACTCTGAGTCGTCGTTTAACATTGACATGGCCTGTCGGAGGCTGCAATGTCATGTCCAGCGGCGCTGAGCTGTCCCTACAATGACATGATGCAATTGCATATTCAAGAAGTAAATCAGCAAGGCCATCCGAGAAGTTAGTGGTCCACCATGGTCTATTATATACATCCTAGAGTGAGGACGTCAATGTGTCGTCACCAGAGTCTCTTTTGGCGCCGAGAGACAAGCTGGCATTCCGAAAACAAATCACGGGGCAGGTAGAACGGCTTGCCGGTACCTGCATAGAGTTTCATTCGCCCCGTAATCAGCTCGAGTGTAGAGATGAAGGGCAGAATATTCGTCTTTCTTTGGGGCCATGTCGGTCACTATCTTGGCAATATCCCAAGTCCCATGTGTCATTGCCCAGATCTCCGAGACGGGGATTCAATTTGGGACGAGATACGCATGTTCAGATCTGTAACGATTTGTCGGGACCACGAGGACTGGCAGGTAAAGGTAAAGGTAAGGGTAAAGGCAAAGACAGTATCCAAAGCTCGGATCTCTTTTGGACGGTGAACGTGACCAGCTGCGCCCAGTGGTCAACGTGACCTCGAGCTGCCGCAGGTGGCGGCGCGGGGTTAGGAGCCGGGGAAGCTTGGGCGGGTTGACAACGCAGCAGAAGCTCACACTGGTGCGATGCAGGGATAGCGGCCAGAGCACCCGGAGCATCCAGAGCGAACGGGATGATGGGCGCAACTCGAAGGGATTGGAGCTTTTGAGTTCTCAGGTGCTTCAGGAGAACGGAATTTATGTTGGGACTGCAGGTGATTCGTAATTGTACTTACAGCAACAGGTAGAAGGAGGTATGCCCTCTGTACGCTGTAAGTACTGAATGCCGGTTGGCCCGGGCTCCCCTGTGTTTCTCCAAATCCCCAGGATTTCTCTCCAGCTTTGTTACTCCAGGTCCTCCGATCTGGGGCGGGGGCGGGTGGCATGGCTGGGCAAGTTTGCTTTGTTACCTTACCTTGGCTTTGCTCTGCGCATGGCAAGTGATTCAGGTGACCTCACCTTTGCCTTACCTTACACCGAGGGGGCCGAGACGAGAGGGACTGGAGTCTGGAACCCGACCTACCTCTTTGGCGCGGCGCCCAGGCGGCGTGTTACGGTGCTGCTGGGGTTGGTCCTTGAGGCGGGGAAAATGGGTGCCAGCCAGGCAAGATCGGGAAGGCAGGAATACGATGCCGCACATAAGGAAGGGCCCGGGTACTTTGGGGAACCTTTTACATAACGCGTCGTCTAGACGGTAAGCCATTATGTATTGAAATGAACGTTAGAGGCTGTTGCGTGTCTCGTGTGTATACCAGCTGCTGTGGCCGATGCATCATCATCAACCCTGGAGCTTCCAGCCAAGCTGTTGTGTGTCTGGTGATGCGAATCTCTCTTCCTACATCTCAAATGCATCGTAATCTGGTCGATTGTGCCTTTGATCCCTCCCGTGGTCGTCTGCCCGTTTGTTGTTACACCATTTCTGCCATTTATTGTCAATTTTTGAATTGGGCATTCTCGACGTCCACCAATCAGAGCACGGCAACCGTTAGTTATCCCGCCTTCGTTGACGACGGCCGTTATCTTTTCGATACCGTGTTGTCTTACCCCGAAGCAAACCCCAAACAATAAGTCCCCCACGGGGTCAGCAGCAAGCCGAGCAAACGTCCGTTGGGATTCTTGGGGGGCTCTCCCGTCCAGCAAACCCTCAATCGTTGCTCTCGTTGCGGGATCGTGTCCCAGCAGTGCGTGAGGTGCAGCGCACGAGTACCCATACGCCCCGTGTTTGGGAAACCGTCTCCGCGAATACCAGACGAGGGATCGCAGCTTACCACCTCTCGGTGTTGAGAGTCTTTGGTGTCCCCGTCTCCCGTCGGTGTCGGTGTTTAAGGTAAGGCAGAGGGTCTGACGGTACGTACCGGCTACCTTATCAGGTAGGTAGGTTAGCAATCAACGCCGAGAATTCCACCTGCCCAGCTTATTTTAGCTGGGAAGAGAGCTTCAAGGTACCTTCTTTTCCAGTACGGATACCGGGCCTGCAAAGTACCCTACATCTGTACGTATTTTCCACCTTGCCAACCCCGCACCCACTTTCTGAGAGCTAAGGCAAAGCACCAGTCACAGGCCGACGTTGAGGTCGCAGAGGTCCCACCTCCCAGCCAAAGGTTGCCGACAAAACCCAGGGCCCGCCGTTTTTTTGCGGCTTCCCACCCCAAGCCGCTTCAGTGTTTATTCCCCCCTCCATAATCCCGTTGCAAACCGACCGAGTCAATCCTCAAGCAGACAATCCAGTCGTGCCATCGACCCACGAGTGCAGCACCGCTGTTCGGCCCATCATGGCCCAATACCCAGCCCAGACAGCATCCAGCCTGAGCCCGACTGTATCTTCTGCTCCTTCAACAAACGCTGCCGCTGCTGCCCCATCCGCGCCGACAGCAACCGCTGCCTCCCAGCCTGCTGCACCCCAACACAAACGCGTTTACCAGGCCTGTATTCCGTGTCGCCGTAGAAAGGTCCGTTGCGATTTGGGAAGCGTCGACAACCCCCACGATCCGCCCTGCGTGCGATGCCGACGCGAGAGCAAAGAATGCTACTTCAGCGCGACCCGACGAAAGCGCAAGACGGAAGACGGTGCCGACGAACCTGAAGACATTGACGAATACACCATCCGCAATGGCCGTAAGCGCCTCCACGTCGAAGACAGCCCCCCGGTCGCCATCGACCGCCGACTCTATAGCGAAGTTCCCTTGACCCCCGGCGGTTCCATCGGCCGAAACCAACCCCTCCGTCGACCGACCGACCCCGGCATCCCCTCTGGCTCGCGCGGCGCTGTTACCCCGAGCACCGTCAGCCAGGCCGATAGCACGCGCCGCGCAGAGTTTGGCACCTTCGAGGACGAGCCCAACGCCCATCTCGAGAACGCGGAGGCCCAAGACCTCATGCGCCCCGGCGTATACGGACCCCACGATGCTTTGGACCTGCTGTATAAGGCGGCCACGGATAGGTCAGTCCAGCTCCGCCAGTCCCAAGACGCGGCTGCTTACCCTCTCCCGGCTCACAGCCCCGTGACGAACCACAAGCGCCACGAGAGTGTCGCATCTATACCGGCCCTGCCTCCACAGCCCATGATTGTGACTCCGGGCGCGACCATGAAGCCTGCGAGCGCCGGCCGTCCCTCTGTGTCAACCAAGCCGGAGCCCCCAATCATCGACCCCGAGCTGACGAAGCGGGATCTCTCTGGGGAACCTGGATACCAAGATGCCATCAAGGCTTGGGGCAGATTCAGGTTCGTCAGGGCTGGCTGGTTCTCTGCGCAGGAGGCCATTGACTACATCGACTAGTAAGTCCTCATGTTACCCGAGACGTGATACGGTACTGACCACAGCAGCTACTACGAATATCTTTCCCCGCTAACACCCATCTCGCCACCGACATTCCGAAACCCTGCGTCGCATCTTACTCTTCTCACGGAGGAGCCGATTCTCACAATCACCCTCCTCACCATTTCATCTAGATATCGAAAGATCCCGGGAACTGGTGGACATTGCCGGTCTCATGCAATCCATGAACAGCTCTGGACCTATCTGCGAGGGATGATTGAGAGGTGTCTTTGGGGCCAGGAGGCTTTCGGTGGCGGATTTACGGCGGCAATGGCTGGAGCTTCATCCGTCATAGAAGATCAAACCAGCAGCACGGCACCTTGGCGTGGAATGAGGAAGGGAAGTCTGCGGACGCTGGGAACTGTCGAGTCTCTCATGATCTTGACCGAGTGGCACCCCCGCGCGCTCCACTTTCCTCCTGCCGAGGCCATCGACGAGCTCATGCTCCCATCATATGAGGGTAGTGATTTGATCAGCACCGATGAGAACGGAAACCAGCGGCCTTCGGCCAATATTGGCGGCCGGAGACTTGACAGCTGGCTCGAACCTGCGTGGAGGAGTGACAGAATGTGTTGGATGCTTCTCAGCACCGCGATGGGCCTTGCATATGAGCTCGGAGTGTTTGACGACATTGATGAGCTGCTTCGTGACGGCGCAATCACCCGCCCTGAATATGAAGAGGAAACCTACAGGCAGCGCGCAAACCGCATCAAGCGGCTGCTGTTGATCTACTTGACCCAATTGGCCGGCCGCCTTGGCTGGACGAGCATGGTTCCAGAGGTCCTCCGCAAGAGCGACCCCGCCGTGACCCGTCGACGACCGACATCGACTGAAGGCACAACACCCGGTACCAACCCATCCTCCCTGTCCAATGCTTTCAACTACATCCCGGACCTGGAGCTTGACGATCAGATCATCCACTGCTGGGCCGGTATCAGCAATGCCATGCACATCGGCAATGAAAAGTTCTTCAGGTCAAGGAAGCACACGACCGACATCATCCAGAGCGGCAAGTATACCGAGCTTCTGAAGGATTTCCAACCTCTTCTGCAAGATTGGTGGAAGGAGTTTGAGCGGTACAGGCTGCCGCCGTACATCAGACATATCCTGACCATCGAGTACGAGTATGTGCGCATCTATGTCAACTCGCTGTCTTTGCAGGCAGTCGTCGAGCGGTGCACCAACAATGCTGGAAATACTGCGCACGCCGGGCACGGCGCGCACGGCAATCATAACGCAGGGAGCGCTGCACAACTCTCGCCTCAGACTCAAAACTACTTTGGAAAGCTGCCTCTGGGCCAGTTGGGTGGCTTTGGTGCGACTGATCAGGAATACATCAAAGAAGTCATCAGCGGTAGCCGCAACCTTCTCAGAACGGTGGTGGAGGGGCTTCTCCCAGGAGAGTACCTCAAGCACGCTCCCGTGCGGACATACTTCCGCATCATCAGCGGCGCTATGTTCCTGCTCAAGACCTTCGCTCTTGGTGCGCCGCGGTCTGATGTCAAAATGAGCATTGACTTGATGGACCAGACTGTCGAGGCCCTCCGCAACTGCGTCGTTGACGATGTTCATTTGGGCATTCGCTTTGCCGACTTGCTTGAGTCTTTGACCCGTCGTCTTCGCAACCGGTTCATCCAGGCGCCTACTCTAGGTCACGCATCCGCGGATGGAAGAAGCCCGGATCCCCATGGCGTCACTGATGGCACCGGTGCTGCGGATGGGCAGATGGCTAACGGCGTCAACGGCCAGACCTGGTCCAACCACGCAACGAAACTACGGAATGGACTCAACCCGCACGGTAAGACTTGGTACACTTCCCTGCCGACTTCATTGACTGACAAAGAAGCAGAAGACCCGAACGCCATATCCGCAACACCCTTCGACCTCACCACAGGCAACTTTCCCTACCCGTCCGGTGCCGCCTCTGTTCTGGGTCCTTCTACACCGGCGCCTCACCCCGAAAACACCAGCAACAACACGAACACGAACAACACCAACAACACAGCAGGCTCCACGACCGGCATGGACAACCTCTTCGACTCGACAGACTGGAGCAACCCCAGCAACGAGATGTGGTATCTGCCCACGGGCCCTGCCTTTTTCCAGAACATGGACAACACCGCCGTGGCCATGACGGCCGAGGGCGTAAACGTCGGAGGCCTCGACCTCCTTGAGTACATGGCCATGGATAATTTCAATGTCATGGACGGCACGAACGGCGCGCCATCATACCCCTGAACCCAGACAGGGCTACAAAAGTATTGATGACCCCCAGGAGGGATGACGATATACACAAAATTGGGCAACGGAAGACAAAATAGCAAAAGCGGGGTTCAAAAATTGCACTTTGGCAAAAAAAGACGGCGTGACGTCGTCGAAAACCGAGCAAGACTTGCGAAAAACAGCAACTTCTCGTTTGGAAAATTTGGGGTGATGATTGAATATGGGGTACGGACGCTAGCATTGGCTTTCTAATTATTTTTATTGCTTAGCTCGAAGTACTTCGCGTCTTCGACACGAAGGTGTTTTTTGGTTATGTTTTGGTACGAGTTTTCGTTCCTTACCTTATGAGATTGGCGGCAAGAAGTATGGATTTAGATACCCTTTTCAGCACTCGATTGTCAAACGAAGCACGCGGGGGTTTCCGGGGTGCTTGCTCGAGTTGGACGGTTTATTAGGTTATAAACAGATTTCTTTCTCTCTTTGGAAAGCACGAGTCTTGTTTTTTTGCTCCTGCCAGTAATTTAATGTGCGGAGCAGAAGTTTGGGCATCTCGACGAAGCAGGTGATTGTCCTGGGAAGAGCAAACTTTTTCAAGTATCGAGTTTTTATCTGACATGGTACTGCTCGTTTCCTGCAGCTTTTTGCGTGGCAAACCCAGATCCGTGGTCTCTGTATCCATCTCTCGTCTTGTCTCAAGAACAAAATTCGTCGTCTCCTTCGTCTGGATCTGGGGTGTTACTCTATTCCTACACGCGATGTTGGTCCCATATCCCTGCCATCCGGAACCCAAGTCTCCTTCCAATCCTTTCCATCCCCAATTTTCATCCTGAGCTTTCCTGCCGTTGGTATCATGCGCCCTTGTTACGGGATGTCGTCTCGTCGTTGATCTCATAAATCATCTGATCGTATGCGTTCTCACCCGCCGTCGTTCTTGTGACCTCTTCCGGGGAGAGTTCACTCAGAGCGGGCGCGGGGGAAGCGGAGCCAGCCCCAGAAGGGGGCGCCGCCGCTGGTCTCCTCCTCGCTCTGCTGAGGACGGACGGCGTCCATGCTGTGGCGAGGCGTGAAGTGGCCGTTGGGACCGATGGGCGGCATTGTGGCCGGGGACTGCTCGGTGCGGCGCTCGATCTCGCGGAGGTTGCTCTCAAACTCCTGCTGGAGGGCGCGCTCGCGGGGGCAGGTGATGCTGTCGATGGTCTGCTGACGGACGCGGGCGTTCTGGGCGTTCTCGTGGGCGATGTCGCGGGGACGGGCGGCAACGGCGGGAGGAGGGGTGATGGTGATCTCTGGGGTGGCGCTCGTCTGGGGAGAGATGGGCTCGGGGATGGTGGGATGGTTGAACATGAACAATCCCTGGAAAACCGGCCGGTCGTTCTGCTGGGCGGCAGACTCGGAGCGCAGTCCTTGGTTCACGCCCTGCTGAAGCGGGATATTGTTACCGGCTTCGAGGTCAACAATCTCCTCGTCGTCGGTGCGCGAGCCGATGGTCCGCTCCTCGCGGCCCAGGAAGAAGAGACGCAGCCTGCGGCGGGCGAAGTCGCGGAAGCCACCGCGAGGCCGGAGGCGCAGACGGAAGTTGCGATAGTCGGGCATGTGGAAGCTGTGGTAGTCTTCGCCGGGTAGGGCGTAGTAGAAGTGAATGCAGGGATACCAGAAGCAGAGAGCACAAGCTATGATGAAGCCGATGAGTGATCCTACGAGGAAGCCCTTCCCGATTTGTACGATTGCACTATGGTCGGATAGGATCCAGGTTTCGAGGAGAGGGGTTGCCTTGTGGGAGGGTTCGACAGAGTGAGGAGCCACATGGGAGGTGGGGAGAGGGATGGGAGCCATCGTAGCGGTTGGCCGGGTAGGCAGATGGTTGAGACCCGGGCGACGAGGAGTACAAGTGCGCGGCTGTGTCTGTCAGTTACGCGCTCGCATTGTGTTGTCAGGATGGCTTTGATGACTTACGCGTTGGTCTTTGAGAGTGGGCGTCGTGAGAGGCGCGCTCTGGGTTTTTGGACAGTGGTTCACATGCAGTTTCCTTCAGACTATGTGAAGAACAATGGCTGCATTGTCTTGCTGTGAGAAAATAAGTGACGAACAATTCTGGGATAACGAAGGTATTTGGAACTTTGGCGCGCGTTGGTGCTGGGATAGATGGAGCCCTTGTCCTGGTTGTTGAGTTGGATATGGGTTTTGGTGGAGAGGGTAAGGAATTTTGAAAACGAGAAGAAGTTTTCCTCTCGATCTTTTGGCTAGAGAAAAGGTGCGAGGGCAGACTGTTGACAACAGGCAGGAGGGGTGTGTGGGAAGTTGAAGCCGTTCGTCTCAGGTAGGAACGTCGCTCCCCTCTCAACCTCGCTCTTTCCTCTGAACGACAACACATGGAAGAAGTGGGTCGCCGCCAGCTTTTGAGCAAAGTCGAGATTGAATTTGGGACGTAGTAATTTTCTGAGAAATCAGTTTCTTTCGAGATTCTCATCGATGTGTTGTTGGTTCTCTGCCAAGAACCCCTGAATAGCTTCCAACGCAACGCCCCTCCGCATGCCCGTCTCATCGTCCCATGAGGAATGCAGACCAATCAGCTTTCCAGACTTTCTGTCGATTAGAGGTGCCCCCGAATGTCCCCAATAAGTCCAGCAGGTATGCATCAACGCCCCAACCTCTGAATTATCCTGCACTTCCTGCCCCTCAGCGCAGCCCCTAAAAGTCCCGGTGCTAAGGTGGAGAACATCATAACCGGTCTTGACGCCTGGCTCTGAAGCTTCAAAGTCTTCACTTCCTGGGTGACCAACGCATATGAGCCGGGACTTGAGAGGTGGAGCGAAGACGGCCGTTGGGATGAAGGGGAATGTACTGGTTGCTGGAGACGCGGATGAGGTTAATGGAGGTTCCTGGGCCGCCACAATTTTCAAGAGAGCCAAATCCCGTCTGGCATCCCATGCCAGCGGCTTTGCTTCCACTACTCGGCCAGAGGCAAAGAGGAGCCAGTGGCTTTCTGTGGCATCAAAGTCGTCGGCGGTTTCGGCTATGCAGTGAGAGCACGTGAGGAGAAGGCCGTCCGGGGAGATGCAGACTGCGGTGCCGGCTTCCTCTTGGGCGAAAACGAGAGTAGCTATCACTGAGGACGAAAGCCCCTTCATTTGCATGTCTTCTGGAATCAAGATCTGATTTTCTAGCAGCAGCCGGCGCTTTTTCAGGAGAAGTCGGAGGTCTTGTCTGGAAAGATCTTTGGGTTTGAGGCCGCTGCCGAGATTTCCGGGAAGCGAATAAATAACAGAGCTTCCTGACCTTGAAGTTTCTTCTGTTGCTGAAATAGAAAGTTCCGTCTTGTTACCCGCGTTGCTTGAGGATGCTGCCGCTGCTGCCAACTTGGCCCTCTGTCTCGTCCGACGCGGTGAAGTCACCCCAGGTCGCGCAGCAGATTGCTCCATGTTGGTATGTGAAAAGCTCAAAAACGAAAACAGAAAACTTTCACCTCAGATGTATTGAGATGAAATCTTGGATATTGATAACAAGTAGGAGGTGGATGGATGCCGCTAGTTGAAACGGTAGCGTGCCACTGCTGCCTAATTTTCAACATAAGAGCCACTCATCATGTAGCCTGGGTTCTGCCAAAAAACAACATGGATCAAACTAGCTTTAATCATTACAGAACTTTTCCTCATCAAAAGTGAAGTTGACTTTGTTACAGATTTGAACTATATACATGGAAATCGAATTGCCCCAAGAATCCAAAATACCAGGATCACGACAACTACAGCGAAAATGGTAGGTTCTCGGTACCTTTTCCTATAAAATTCGGCCTCGTATTATCGTCAATTCTCATCAAGTCGAGCCGAACGGTCAAGTGATTATTTCAGAAGCACTCACTGCTGCATCTAAACATAGATGGCGCAGCTGATGGGACCACGGACATCCATAAGATCCGCAATGGTAATGTTTGGCAGCAGGCCCGCGGTCCAAAGGTTGTGCGCCATGGTGGTCACGTTTCCGCCGTTCTCGCCGTTGTAATAAAGGAGGTCAGCACCGGGATATTCAAGGTTGGACATCTCGAGGAATGCATCAGAAGCGACAACGGGCCCGCCAATCTCGTTAAGGCGCGCAGTCAAGTTGACGGACTGCCACTCCCACCAGAGACGGTCGAGGTTCGTGTGGTGAAGGAAGAATAGCGGGTCACCAGGGCTGGAAACAACGTCCAGCATCTAAAATCCAGAAAGTCAGCTTCTGTAGATGGGACGAACGGAGCGCAGTGGACTTTGACTTACCGTGCCGCCGACGCCCATGTGGCCGGCAAGATGAGGAGCGGTGCCCCAGCAGTTCCAAGAGTCCACGTAGGTGTCGATTGCCATGCATTCGTTGACGTAGGAGCTGTTTGCCTGGTAGAAGCTGTCCTGGTCCAAGTCGCGGGTGAGGCAGAAGTTGGCGTTGTTGCTCGTCTGGTTTAGGTGCATCGTCAGGTTGACGAAAGGCCCGTCCGCAACGCAGCCGTTTTCGCCGTTCTTGAAGCTCCCGAACCCAGTCTCCGCATCGAAGACGGTAGACTGGTTCAGGAAACCAGCTTCGGCGTCCTCGAGCTCGTTCCAGTACGGTTGGCCTCCCTCATAGCCACACTCAGTCTGAAGGTAGACTTCGTGAACACGCACTGCAGTGGTGTTAGTCACAGTATTCTTCACAAAATATGGGATTACGTACTGTAAAGTCTGTGCCAGGGCAAAAAGGGGCCGTCATTGTGGATGACGTTGGCTTGGTAAATGTGGGCGTACATCAGATCATCCCAAAGATTCTGAGAGCCCTCCACGCCCAGCTTAGGGGCTTTATTCTGGAGGCAAAGCTCAGCGTCGATGTAAGCCTTTTTCTCGACATCGGTCATGGCGGTCCTAACATCTGTGTTAGCCAGGAAGTTGCCATGCAAAGAGCCCTGTGACATACCAAGACTTTCTCTCATGCAGAGAGGTACACTCCGGAAATTCCTTCACGGCACCTCTGGTAAGGCTCGAATTGGAGGCAGGCAACGAAGCCGCCGTGGCCAAAGCAGCCAGAGAGCTGAGCAGCAGAAGCTTGGTAGAGGAAGAAGCCATGATTTTTGCAGGACAATGACTCCAAGAGAGAAGAGTGGCGTGAGGGTGGTACGACAATTCTGATGTCTGAGGTTTTCATTCAACATTTTATATGCTTGGCCCCCTTTCCAGTCACACTCATGGCTGAATATTTTCGTCTACTTTTCTCCATTCCTTCTCGCATTACCTCCGCCTAAGCCTATCTTCCTCCGACTCAGAGCTTCAAGGAACGACAGAGAAGCCATTCCGACCGATATCACCGAGACGCATCCCTAGTCCAGACAGTCATTTTGGTGATACATGGAAAAGATCAAGTCCGTCACTTCGGCCCCACTTCGCAGCCCTCATTCCGCTAGCAGCATGGATATAGTCCGTTGTATTAACAGCGTCCGCCCCCCCTTTTTACTGAAATTATATATATATAATCCCTATATATATATAAAANCCGCCCCCCCTTTTTACTGAAATTATATATATATAATCCCTATATATATATAAAAATTTACTTAATACTATATAGATACTTATAGTATAATAATTAACCTATTTTAATAGTTTTAATTAATCTATTCCTATTAAATCTTATTATCTAAGGGTATTATAATACTTCTTAAATACTACTATATAGTTTAATAAGTAGATAATAACTTATCTAGGTATTATTTATTACTTATTACTAATAATATATAGAAATAATAATATATATAATAACTAATATAGGATATTACTAGAAATCCTCTTTAATACTCTATTTTACTATTAATTAGGATTATTATATTTACTAAAAGAGCTTATTAAGCTATTATTACTAAAGAAGCTACTAAGGAGGTTATTATTAAGGTTATTATTATTAAGGTTAGACTTAAAACTAATAATTTAATAGCTTTTAAGTTTATATTATAAAGAAGGTATATATTTATAGTACCTCTATTATTATAAAGAGTTCTAAAAATATTTTCTTATTAAAAAATAATAATAATATAGAAGAAATAAAAGAAAGATCTACTATATATAATATAATTAAAATAATAGTATTAATAAAAGTA